AGATGGTGGCGGGCATGTGCAGAAGACGCAGGCAGCCAATATGGCTGCCGGCGTGTTCAGAAAACTAATTTATGTATGCCTGAATATCATTTTAGTATTCGTTATTTCGGATTCGGACGAACCGCCAAACTGATTTTCGTTGATTTGTAGGTTCGTCCGAATCCAAATGCACATGTCTAGTAAAAGGCCTTAGACTTAATTTTCTGATTGGCCAGGAGGAGAAGGGGACAAAGACATGGCCGCAGTACTGGGTCTATATATTACATGTGCGGCGGCCAAAAAATTGTTTCGTTTTCATTCGGATTTTTCATTATTTCATTTTTTGGGATTCGGGTCCGAAAATCATTTCGTTTCAGGATTCGGATTTGGACGAAATCCAAATTTTCATTAATTTCTGTAGTATGTACGAATTTTCATTATGAACAAATTTTCGTTGCAGCAAAGTAACATTAGACAAAAGGCAAAAAAAATACTTTTTAAAAAATTATTTCCAGCCTGCAATAGAAGAAAAAAAAAAGCGTGAGGTTCCCTCCCAATTTATACAAGACCCTTTATACCCAACCCCCAAAAAATGGAGAAAAAGAGTGGGGTCCTCCACCAGACCCTTGGTCCGAGCACAGGCCCGGCAGGGTAGGAAAAGGGAGGGTACAATCGAGCACCAGGCCACGTGCCCTTGATGTAGGGAGGGTGTCCCCATTCTGATGGGGACAAGGGCCTCTTCCCCATGACCCTGGTTGGTGGTTGTGATGGTCTGCAGTCAGGGGGGCTTATTTGCTTTGGGGTACCCCTGTAATTAAGGGGACACCCAGATACCGACTCCCCCTATTGAATGAGTAAGGGGTACTTGTAACCCTACCCATTCACTAAAGGGTTAAAAGTAAATGTAAATAAACACACCACATATTTTGAAAAAGTTATTTAATTGAAGAAAAAAACAAAGAGTCAGTTTTTGACAAGTCCTTTATTTTTAAAAAATGGATCCATCGATGTAACCCAGCGTCAATCAAGATGAAAGATGCCCGCCCACTTGCTGAAATAAAGGAAGTCTCGATGACCCGTTCGAACCCACCGAAGACTCGCCGCTAAATGACAGCTCTGGCTCAAATGTAAACAAATGGGCGGAGGGAGCCGTGATGTCACATAGCTTGTTTTACCCATTTGTTGACATTTATGAGCTGCCGTTCATATAACAAAGGCAAAGTCTTTCTGAACAGCATTCGAGAGCTTTTTTTTTTTTTTCCCCTTTTGTCTAATGTATCTTTGCTGGAACGAAAATGCATTTGTAATGAAAATTCGTACAAACTACCGCTGACAAAAATGTGGATTTTTTTAAAGTTGATTTAGCTTAACACAATAATACTTAATTCGGGAAAGAAATTTGGATGCATCCGAAATTTTCGTATTCGGAATTTCGTATTGGTTTGCATTCATTATTTCTGTCATTCAGAAATTTGTATGCATCTGAATGTACGAATTTCCCAAAATTAATCCGAATAACAAATCTTTCCAAAATGAACAGCACATGTCTAATCTATTTGACCTGCAGCGGTTACATCCTTAACAGCCTTGATGTACAGTGGGAGCTGTCCTAATTAGACAGTATTCATATAATTGTTTTTAACATACATGCCGAATGGAGGTTTGCAGCTGAAGATTAGGCATGTTTACTTCTCTAAAGGAACATACCCCAACATTTCTAGCCACACAGGTAACAAAATCACATTAATACAATCAACATGGAATGTGCCAAGTCAAATGTTAATTGTGCAAGAACAGAATGGGAGGTCTGAAAGTTTGTGGAAACACCCGGTTTGAATTACATAAACCAAACCGATGACAGCAATGCAGAACGGGCAGTGTGCGCGTGCGCACACCGGCCCGTTCCGCAGCTATCGGACGAGCAGGCTAGAAACCCGCCGACAATCGTACGATTCTCGGCGGGTTTTCGAGCATGTTGGTTCAACAAAAGACGTGCGACCGTACAGTAGAAACGGTCGCACGTCTTCGTTCACACTGCTCGATTCTCGTACGATCACGGGATTTCGCCCGATTCTCGTATGAGAATCGAGCAGTGTATGGGCACCTTTACCCTTCAGGGTACTAGCCAAATTAAAACAATGTGAAATTTCAGAGGCAGTGCACACCTTAAAGTGTATTTCCACTTTGCAACCAAATTGGGATAACACATTTTATATTTTGTACACGTTCCCATTTACATAGCATAAGCTAAAAAAAAATTAAACAGTTTAAATTGCTTTAACTTGGGTTAGGGTTTCTACTTGGTTTCTTAAGGGTTAAAACTTCTACTTGGCTTCTCCTATTTTGTAAAGTTAGGAGGGGTTGTGAGGGGTAAAGGGTTTGTGTGTCTTTATTGTGCTGTCTGATTTTATTAGAATTTGTAAAGTAGATTTAAATACTGCCTGTCCTAACAGATTGTTAAAGGATTAAAAGCCTGGCTTCTGCATTGTATGTTAATGAGAGAAACACAACTTTCCACGCACTGTCCTCAGTCTTTCTATAGGGACAGATTACGGTGAAGATGCTCAGAAAAAACATGGATGCATACATTTTGCCTGCTGCAACAAAACATCTAAAAGGTAATAAATATCTCTTTATTATTTCTATTATTTCTAGGTATGCTGTGTGCATAGGAACACATAACACACATACAATGGGGGTTTTCTCAAATTTGTCTACAAATGTGAAAATACACTTTAAAAACACACTTCCCCTCCCAGATTAGTTATCACTTTAATGGCTGTATCATGTTACATTCCTCCTTTTTAGTGAATGTCTTCATGTTCCACATTCAACAAGAGTGGCACTCCAGATCTACAGGATGCACAGGATGCACCATCAAGGGTATATATATATATA